CCAGTTACAGTGCAACCGCGCATTCCCAATAGCTTTTCTTTTGCATACAACTACTTGACCTCGTCGCCTGTGCGTTCACTGGTCCCACCTGTAAAAACCCCTATTACTACCGGTCCGTATTACATGTGGCTGGGGTTTGTTTTCTTCAGGTGGAGCTTCATAGCCATATCTGACCCACGTTCGCAAGCCTGGGTCACACACGTGTACGGGATGATGTTAAGTAGCAGGGGTGAACTTCAGTCCCAGTGTCAGAGTCAAGAATTCTCCAAACAAACAAATTCAGATCAGGTGAATAAAGTTAAAACAAAGAGGGTAGGGAACAACATGCGAATACGTCAGGTAGAATTTCACAGAGAGGTCAGATGCCAGAGAACTGTCAGCGCACAGCAGACTCCGAGGGCCACGGTTTCCCGTATAATGGCATAGGAGACGCACACAGTCCTTAAGGCCCGAGTTCACACATGCAGAGGCAGGCGCAACCATCAATCGTCATGTAATGAAGCCGAAATTCTATCGGAAAACGACAACCGGGTGAAGGTCGTAAGCTGCCTAGTCTCCCGGTCCACAGCATGTCATCAAAGGAATCGATATCCCCTTGGCCTTTGCAACTGCAAGGTATGGCTCGAGCGAGGCTACTGCACATACAGTCAGTGACCTAACTCGTGAAATGTTTCGAAATTTACGAATGATTGCCAATCACTCGCAAACCGACACCATTTCAGGAGTCCAGTGTTTATGTACAAGTTTAAAAGGATTGAAAACATAAAAGAAATATTAAAGGCAGTGTTGCGTTGTTTAGAAATGTCTATTTTCTTAAAAAAGCGCAATATCCCGAAAACGTCAGAAATGGCTTTAATTTAGGAAACTTCATTTTTAAATGTATAGAATGTATTTTCATACCAAGAACGTAGTAAATATGAAATTACAAATGAAATAACGTCTAATAATAGAGGTTCAGTGAAGTTTACGTCTAAATATCGTTTAATCACCAGTGTGCTCTCATATATGACGATCTGTCAATTGCCTACATTCTGAGCGTAGATTCCAAAACAGTTTTCCAGGGTTTCGTGTTATCCTTGACCCTTTTGAGTTAAATGAGATGAGATTCAACAAGAAAAACTGGATTTTGCCTGATTTCACCGATGGGGACGTCGTAGGAACAAAATTTTTCAGAAGGTGACATGCCATAAGGCCCGTCGGTGCCTAAAAAATTTAAATAGAACTGACAGGCGTGATCGTAAACATACCATTTACTGTTATAGAGAGGAATTTTCTTCCATTAAACTAATTCACACTTTTCGTTCGCTTGTGATTACGGTGAGTTTCAGATCGGCCTCAAAATTTTGCTGAATACTTCAAGATTTTCTGTGCTTTCACCCGATCGCCCATAAAGACAGATTCTTAATTACCTGTCTGTTGAGAACTTTAAAATAAGATTGTTCTTGAAGGCATTTACCCAATTAGTGAGTGTTTGGTCGCTTCTCTTTACGAAGATGGTCGTTTTGGTCACATGTGAAGACTCATTTAAACCTCAAACTTCATTTTCGAGAAAAATGGCTGCCCACAACGAAAGTCAGCAACGAATATACCTTCGAAAAAAATGAAAACTCTCCTTAATAAGGTACCTCTTTAAGAAGTGCTTTATTACTGCACGGCGTTGACGGGTCTCTGTGTACTTTGCATTTTATCATGACGAGGCCAAGTAAATAATTGACACTTTTGGCGGTTTCTTTCATGTTCCTTAAAAGTATTAATATTTTTCTACCGTAAACGCAAGAGCATGCCTTCCTCTATACATTGAGGCCATTTCCACTGCTTTTGCTCGATTTTAGACTCCGTTCTTCGATTTTGAATGTATGGCAGAGCGCCCATATAAATACTAATATTTTGCTGAAACTATTAATGTTTTTCTCGTCATATTTCTCAATGAGATATGCACAGAAGCTAAACTACACGAGAACTAGTGCTTCATATGTTTAAAGCTGGAAATGACCATTACGTGGGGGTCATCTGTGTGACGTCAGGTAGAATTTTCCAAATGGCAAAACAATTTCAGTCCATTTAAACGAAGGAATCCCTATCTGCGTTATTACTGCATTTAGGACACCAAATCGCACAGAAATGCTAATATGACACTTAGGAATTGATGCGACCTCTGGTTTTCTTAAAAGAACCCTTGCGTTAGCAGGTTGATTACTACGGTTAACATCGGACATGAAATAAATTTTTAAGTTCAGCTAAATCTGTTTATTAAAACTCGCGAGTAAATTACCATCCTTTCAATGAAAAAGTCGCTCATATGCATAACCGGAGTCTAGGACATGTATTAGCATAGGAAATCGCACGAATATATTCCAACGTCCATTTTCGCTAGAATTTATTAATATTTTGCTTGATATAATTACGTAAACATAATTTCTGTACAATAAAAGGACACTTGATTGAAAGATGTTGATGAGCGAATAAAATTTGCAACGTTAAAGGCTTCCAGAAATTTTCGCATCAGTTTCCGCTATCAGATTTCATGAGATAGGTCACGTACTGTATGTAGAGCGTGCAAACGAGTACTGTTCAGAGGCCCGAATAAGTGTCGCAAAAGTACCAAATAGCGTTCACGTCAAGTACAGTAGGTGACTGATCTCACAAAGTGTTGGCCGAAATCCTGAAATAAGTTTTTGAAGGACTACTTAGGTAGGGTTTGTAATATTGATTACCAGGCGGCATAATCTTATAATATTTCGTACTCGCCAAAATGTCGGCTTTTGAGCGTACTTCTTTTCGATCTCCTGTAGAATCCGCACTCAGTAAAAGTGTCTGCATAAATAGCATCCATTTTCACATTGATTTTCGATGGTCTTATAAATTCACATCAATTGTATAGAAAGCATGCACAAAAATTTGCTTTCTTTTACTTGTTTGGTAGAAATTCGCGCTGTCTTCACATTTTACACACGAAGAAAGGTTATCTTTTGGTTTTAAAAAAGTTCCAGATTATAAGATTATTAAGACCGTGCACAGTCCATTCATACAGTCCGAAATATTATAGGATTATGCCGCATGATAATAGATATTACAGCTTTACCTAAGTATTTCTTCCTAATCGAAAAATCATTTCAGAATTTCGGCCAATATTTCATGTGATCGGTCACTCAATGTACCAAAACTGACAGTGTATGTATGACGATTACCGTCTCCGTCGTAGCCGACTAAGTACGTATTGCATTAGTAAGGGACACAATAATGTAAACGCGGCTAGGTCAATTAACATGCCCCAGACGGACTTACAACTGCAGTTCATAAAGTCTGCGGCCTCTCTCCCCCTCTGAGAGTGGGCCTGCGTATGTATCCTACATTTCAGGCTAAAGAAGATTTTGTTCGATTATTCAAATGCAGTTCTTTTAGAGCTTCACCTGAGAACCACCTTTCAGCTTGCACGGACCACTGAAGGCAGTATAACTTCTGGGACTATTGTTCCAATCCTGATTTCATATCTTTCTCCGATCTTGTGACCATCAACTATTTGTACACACACAGCATTGGACTCCCGGTAGTAGAGAAAAATACGTCCGCAATCTAGCCAGTCTCCTACGGTTGGTCGCTTGGGATTCCTTGCATGACTTTTTTGAAACTCCGCGGTGCAGACTCTCTTCCAACTGCTTTAAAATAAAAACGTCGCTCTGCAGAGCGTAATCTTATCACTGTGATTTGTTTTTTCTCAAATGTCGCCCTTTGAGTCCTCATAGGCGTTCTTCTCATATTTGAAACCTCTGCCCCGCCCTACCACGGCTCAACAGTGCTGTTTTTTTCCTTACCAACAAGAAAAGGCCACCCTGTCTGCAGGACTCAAGTTCATGTCCCTAGAGTTTTAGATATACTTCCCGCCCCACACAAAATGAATTATTTACGCCAACTTGGGAAGGAAAAAGATTTTTAGAAATTTAAGATGACGGCGTCGTTCCACACTTAATTAGGTAGCATCCAGACTCTTTTAAGATACAGAAATAAAGGCAAGCCTTGTCTTGTTATCAAGGCAGGTTACACTTTCTGCGACTTTTAAAACTGCCATCGAGATTGCAGTCATATTTGCCCTCAAAAGTGTTATTTTCCATCGTCTAAAATGGGTGCCAATTATTTTGCCCAGTACAGTAGCAGTCAGGTCGTAATAAAAGCACATTATTCCTTTGTTTCTGTCCACGTGCTTTAGACCACCCAAGGTTTAGTTTAGAAAGTGTTATCAGTCAGAGATTTGAGGCAAATGAGCACTGTTCACGTGGTGTGTATGGCCTGGAGCGGTGTCACGTTTGGTGTATGAATAGTTCAGATTTCCGATAACTGACTGCTTGCATATGACAAAACAAGCTTCCTTTAAATATGCTGAGTCTTAAAACGTTGCGTCCTGTAATTACCAAGAGCAGATTTGCAACTAGGTAAGCGAACGAGAGGTTTAAGTAAACACACGAAAAGTGTCTTCATCGTACTTTCAATGCAGGTACAAGTTAAGCGCCCACACAAGTAGTTCATAGGTTTTTCCGCTGCTGCTGCTGCACGTTATACGTTTTGAAACTTCTAAAGCTACCATCGGGATTTCAATTTTATTTGCCCTCAAAAGTGTTATTTCCCATTTTCTAACATGGATGCCAATTATTTTGCCTAGTAAAACAGCAGTCTAATCGTAATAAAAGCACATTATTCCTCTGTTTCTGTCCACGTGCTTTAGGCCACCCAAGGTTTAGTTTAGAACGTTTTATCAGTCAGAGATTTCAGGCAACTGAGCACTGTTCACGTGCTTTGTAAGGCCTGGAGTGGTGTCACGTTTGATGTTTGAATTGTCGAGATGTCCGATAAGTGAGTGCTTGCATATGGCAAATCAAGCTTCCCCTAAATATGCGGAGTCCTAAAACATTGCGCTCTGCAATCGTCAAGGGCAAACTTGTACCCTGCAGTTAGGTAAGAGGATAAGAGGTTTAAGCAAGCACACGAAAAGTGTCTTCATCGAGTCTTCAATGCAGGTACAAGTTAAGCGTCCACACATGTGTTTCGTGGGTTTTCGGCTGCTGCTGCTGCTGCTGCTGCTGCTGCTGCTGCTGCTGCTGCTGCTGCTGCTGCTGCTGCTGCTGCTGCTGCTGCTGCTGCTGCTGCTGCTGCTGCTGCTGCTGCTGCTGCTGCTGCTGCTGCTGCTGCTGCTGCTGCTGCGTTATGCAAATGCTAGGATATTACCGCACGGACGCATGCTTCACGTTCCTCATGCGGTGTTCATTTTAACGCCAATTATTAAATGACGGTTTTCATGTTTTTATCAGAATCCAACAAACGGATCGCATCATGAGTGCTTAGGTTCGTGTCCAGCATGCGTCGAAAATCATCATCATTTGAATAACCACATTATGCCATAAGCATATTTAAAACGTTTTTCTCTGCGAAATGCCTGCAGACGCGAACGTTGAGTCACGGACCCGTTGTCCTGTCGGTTGTGATCGGGAATATCAATTATGACAGATGGGCGCTCACCGATCAGGTTACGGAACATGCTCGTTCCGTTGCGCCTTGGGCCTCATACTAGAACCCTCGCAGGCAGTCACACAGCGACTAGTAGTAGAAGTAAATGAGATGATGTCGACAAAGAACAGGGAGACACAACTGACGATTAAAGAGGGCGCAGGTGGATGCTACGGCGAATGAACCCAAAACTGGACGTACCACCATACCCCTGGTCCATAACGCACACAGACCAGGATTTAGACTCTAACAAAAAGAATGGCGAAGGCTGGTACGGCCGATGCCGCCCTAGGCGTGCCCTCATGCCCGGCTCGGATCCCACAAGGGTGCCATAGAGGCCACAGCCCTCTAAGCTAGGTCAGAAAGAGACGGATGGCACAATTCGCTGGGCAACCATGCACACCGGCTGTATACCCAGCAGGATCGAGTGCCAGAGAACTGCCGGAGCACATCAGGCTGCGAAGGCCATGGTTTGCCGAAGCCTGGCATGGCATAAGCACACTATCCTTAGTCGTCTTATATGCATTAGAGATGAACGGGTCAACTGGACCTGGCTAAACACAAAGACGTCCGATTAACAGGGCATCTGCAGTTTAGTGGATTCGAAATGCAGTGCTTGCGCTTCATGAGCGTTTGCTGGACAGCAGAAAGAAGCGACTCAAGAATTGGCCTTGATCAACGAGGACTACATTTTAGAGAATCTGGTGGTCAGTCCTGAGAGGAGTAGTTGGGAAGTTGGCGGTAGTTCCTAGAATCATAAGGACGAGTTGTATCAGGCGGAGACTAGCTCTGTCGATGGGCATGAGCCCCACCGTCTTCCGATGAGGACCGGCGCCGCTGTGAATGACAGGCTCGATAGGGACCTGCCTTTCTTCATCCTGTTTGTCATATGTTAAGATAAATTTTGCTTTCATTTGAACGCAAAAATAAGTACTACCCGTCCTAAGGATGGCCCTGCGTTAATTTCCGAAGGTGTGTCTATTCCCAAGTCCTAACTTTAATTCTCAAACGCAACCCCAATCCGAAACCCTGGAATGCAGCACAAGGGCATCTGTAGTACGGGAGGGTCCATATTTTTGTGTCTTGCTCCTCTCTCTTTCGCCTGGTAAGACATGGTCGAACTTGCCTAACTGAAATCTACAGAACAATGAACTTCCTTCGGGGAGCGAATTCGCAAACGAACGACAAACTCTGTTCATGACTCTTAAAATCCTGAGGAAAACATGAACATACGTGTTCACATCACTGGCATAAAGTTAACTGGGTTGTCAAGGCGAGCAGAGAACCTCGGGTGGTGTTACGTAAGATCAGCTTTTGTAAAGTTAAGCGTCAGGCTGCCTGAAATCAGCTAGCTTGCAGAATCAAATTAAAAATTCAGTGCCGAAGACACAGACGGAAGGACACTGACAGATTGCGTCCCGATCGGACACCCAGCCCAAATAAGTGCACATGGAGGAGGAGGAGGAGGAGGAGGAGGAGGAGGAATAAGAAGAGTAAGATATTTAGAATTTCCTTAAAACGCCGTGCTATGCCACTGCCTAAGAGGTCGGTGTTATGACCCGCCTGGTACTTGAAATCCCGTGGACCCTTGTCTCCAATACCAACGCGGCAGAGAAGGAGAACACGGCCAGCCACGAAAATGTGTATTAGGAAATTGCAAGTCAAAATTAACTGGATGTAACGCATATTTATAACGCCCTACTGTGCTTCGCTGGCTAATGCCCTTCGGGAAGAACATTCCAGACGAGCCGATCGATAATTCGAATATGCAGATCGATCAGGCCCGAGAGGAAAAGCCAATGGAGAGGCGCCACGATTAGGATAACAGCGCAGTAGAGAAAACGCACGTGGTCTCCCGTGATTGGCTGGCTCTTGTTTTTGGGAGTGTAGGCACTCCCAACAGTGGGCAAGCCGACAGGACGCTAAAAACAGCAAATAAACCCGTCTAGAATTCAAAAGAAACATTTTCAGCCTTTATGACCGGGAGCCGCGCACGTTTTCTGAGCACAGTGAAATGTAGCATGTTTTCGTAGTCATCACGGTGGGCTACGATTAAAGGTCGTTTGGAATTTAGCCACTTCTTCAACTGAGGAGTATTTGTACCTACTTCAGAGGGTCGCAGTGACTATAAAAAACATCGGAACTTGAGTGGGTAGAATTGGGAGTGAAGTTGGTTTGTTTAAATGATGAAATTGGAACAAACGGTACTGGTGCCACCTGACAGTTGAGCCGCTGATTACGACAATATCCACCGTGTGCCTACAGCAGGGTGAGCCCAGGAGTGGTGACTTGCGGGTGAATTAGTTTCTAGTGATAGCAGACTTGTGCAGCATCTGCCGCACTTCCTCTTCCCCACTCCCAACCTGGACCCGGCGTCAAGACAGAGTCAAGAAAACCGGAGGCGAGAGGGGGCACAGGTGACTGGCGTGACGTAAGGCCGCGCCCAGGTGTGCCCCTGCATCCTCTAGTCGGCATACAAGTGGCCAGGACTTCAGACAACAAAGAAGAGGAACGACGCGTATCCTGACTGACACCAACTGGGTTGACTGCAAGGTTCAGTTGGAAATCTTCCAAGCCACAGCTTTTAGCGCACTGTGATAGTCTCAACCGCGTCAGATTGCTTGTAGTGAGTGGTACCGTCGGCCTTACTCTCTTACCTCCCCCCCCACCTTCTTCTCTGCACCATGTGATTTCCCGGATTGGTTAACCAACTGATACTGAGAATGGGGAGGCTGCTGACAGATCTAAGTTATTACATTCCGATCTAGTTTTGCAGAAACTAATTGCAAATTGGTTAACATGTGCATATTCGTCAGTTTTGCATGTCGGCAATAGTCTTGTGTCAGTCTTGCCATCTGAGCTCCTGCTCATATCAGCTATTTTAGGATGAATGTCTTAATTTCAAATACTAATCCATCTTCGCAGCCATAGCCTCGTCTGACATAAATATCCATCTAATCTGTCAAATATCTATCTATGTGGATGCTGAAATGGCGATTTTTCGTTTGAGCTTTTGTTCAAATGTAACTGTTCACCTTTGGTAAATGTCCACTCTTGAAGAAGGAGGCACGATCGCTGGGACGAGAGCTTTATTCGCCCGAGGTTACGGATCCCTGCTCGAATCCATCATCAAAGACAAGTGCAGATACGGTTGATTCATGCACAAAGGGCTGCAGTATTTACAGGATGCAGTCGCCATGCTACCGCATACCTATGGATATTCACGGCTCCCCCCTTAATCAGAGATCGTTGCACGTGGTGTGCCGATTGTTTGGTGGCCGACATTCGCGTCGTTAATTGCTGCAATTTCATCACGTGCGTTGGATGTTGGTGGGATGATTGCTCAAGCATCTGATCCACCGACCCTGGCGTTGGGAAAAGTGTTCACCTGTGCGCTTCCCGCATGACTAATTACTCCGCCTAGGCGAAGTCTCAGCACCGAGTATGGAATAGGAAGGTCATAGCACTTGTTACTGGACTGGAGGCCAGTAAACCATGACTCAAGCAGGTCCCGGCTCATGCGGTTGTCACCTCTAGCGAGAATTTCGGCCTCGTCGAATTTGAATGTGTGGCCGGATCTCGTCGAATGAGCCGCATCTTGAGAGCTAGCGTCAGTTCTCCGCACCGCTGCAGCGTGTTCGGCCATTCGCGTTCGGAGCTGCCTTCCGGCTTCTCCGACGTAGCTGCTTTGTCCGCAACTGCACCAGATCTGATAAACGACTCCAGAAGTTTCTTGCTGTGTTCACTCTTGCCGAAAGAGCCAAGGATACCGTAAAGTGGCCTGTCTTGTCGAATCTTATTGTGGGGCAGAGTCGTCGAACTCGGTGTTGCTGCAGATGTGTAGAACCAACAAGGGGTTCATAAGGGGGCGAGTGTGAATAGGAGGCCACGTTGAGTCCGCCCAAACCCTTTGCAAATAGGGGTGAGGTGACACGCCTAGACGTAAG